AAAAAAAAAAAAAATTAAATTGCAAAATAAAAGATAATTCTATTCCATTCCTTAATTCTATCCATTCACATGTCATACAACTCTAACTCACCTCTTACTATCATTGAACCATTTAGATCATTGATAATACTAATAGATAACTTCAAACCCCATATCCTTATCTTTTTTTCCCTACTGCTGCAATTCATCTTCAAGCAATCCGTCGGATTAATTATGCAATCCGATAACGAAAAGAAACAATTATCCAGTCTACCTTTAGTCCAGTTGAAAGAATGTACGTAGCTGAACCATCTCCAGCAAACCTTCCTGCATCGACCTTCTTTCTTTTGAAGATCTTCTCATTCCTAGCTAGCCACATGTAGATCATGTCAGTTAATCTCACTTTCACCCACATACTAACTATGTTGCTGATTATTACTTGCTAAAGATATAGTTGTTGGTCAATAAATAATAGCAAGGTGGGCCTTATCGGAAATATATATATGAAATCAGCAACAAGAAATATGTTGCTAAATCTTTAGCTAGTGAAAAATTATAGCAAGTTATAACACATTGTTGATATTTGTTTTAGCAACATATCCCTTGTTGTTGATTGTGAGGCTCACTTTTAGTTGGAAAGAGATACTATACAAGTATCAACAATATGTTCCTTGCCAGTAAAAAACACTATCACCAACAAACAAAGTTATGTTGCTGATAATTAGTTGCTAAAAATGAGAATTTTAGTAGTGACACCATCCAAACTATGGAGAACCAGATGCTGTCCCAACCAGCCTTCACAGACGCCCTCTTCACAAAATTGTCATGTTGTTCAAACACCCGCAAGCAGACGTTGTCCAGCACAGATGTGATCCCCCGCCAGTGGAAGCGTGCTTGCCCACAACCCAGCTACGGCCTTGCACAGGATAAATGGAATTAGGTCACAATTATTTTCTTAAATGGAATGATGCCATTTTACGTTGCAAAACATCATTTTCCCTTTGTATACCAATATTTGTCTAGAGTAGTTCGCGCTACTTGCACTCAGCCTCTAATTGGCCCAGTGTGCACTGTTTATGAATAAAAAAATTTTTAAGAAAGGAAAAATTAAATTTGGCACTCGATCAATCAAAAGCCAAGGACAATCTGTCGAGTTTAAGTTGCATTCCTCATATTTGTTAATGTGATTCATTAATTGGCAATGGGCAGTTTTGTATAACCTTAATTCAACTTATTAGTGAATCTAATCATTGGGTTTAAATATTTGAATAAGTTATTTAATTGAACACAAACAAATATATATCTAAAACATTATCCTTGATTTAGGGGTTGCCTTTTCATTATCATCATTTTTTTTTAATTTAACTGTTAAGTGTCTTCAGATTAATTTATAGATATTACCTCAAAATTAATGTTTGTTAATCAATTCGTATCTCAAGTATGGGTATATTGAGTCTCAAATCAGCGAAAATCAACAGAACCAAAATACAATGATATTCATCGGCTATTTATACCTCGTAAAATAGAGAAGGCTAAATGCTAAATTTTGTCCCTCAGCTTTTAATTTTGAACAAATTTCATTCTTTAACTTTTTTTGTATTTTTTTATCTATCAATTTGGAAAAATGCTCATTTTTTATCTTTCTATTAGTTAGTGCATTAAGTTTGTCTAAATATAGGTGTTTTTAATCTCTAAACTTATATTATATGTATATTTTTTAGTTTCTAAACTTATAATATAAATTTTGAGACTAAATATATATATATATATATATATGAATGGATTTAAAGAATTAACTAACAAAAGAACAAAAAATTGTAATTTCCATAGTTTAGGGACCAAAAATATGCAAAATAATTTAAAGACTAAAAATATTTAAAATTAAAGTTTAAGGACTAAAATTTAGCATTTAACCAATAGAGAACACATATATGAACATATTACGCGTAAAACTGACAAAAAGAACAATAAGAAAGATCTAGTAGAGAAAACAAAGATCTCGATATCGATTCCTTAGGATATAAGCCAGAAATGGCAAGGGTTATTGATAGATAAAAATGTATAAAAGGGAAGAATTGCAAGGCAAATCCAGGGATAAGAAAGATCTCCTATGTATTACTCACTTTTGAAAATTCATAAAATCAAAAAGGGTAACGGTATGTTAACAACTTTTTATATAATTTTTTTTATATAATTCTTATATGTTATTAAATAAATAAATACATTTAATATTATAAATATTTATAAAATAAAAAGAACTTATCATTAAATAACATAAGGTTGTATTAACAAATTAATAAAAAGAGTTATCTCTCAATCTTTTTTAACTAAAAAACCCTATGGTTTTTAAGAATAAAAAAGTAAAAAACAAATGCCATTCCAAAAAAAAAAATCAAAATATTTTAGCATTAAAAATATCAAAAAATCTAATCCCAACCATATAATAAATAAGATTTAAATTAGACTTATATTATATCTCATCTATCTTATTACTGTAATTAAATTTTTTAATATTTTTAATGTTAAAACATTATTTTTTTTACAACCTCGAAAAATGAATATTATGTTATACAAATATGATTATTTTTCTAACAACTTTTAACTGCTTCAACATGAACATGATTACGTATTCACACTGTAATCAAATCTCTACAATATATATGCAAAAGATAGACAATATTGGCTGAAGATCAAGGTTTGGAATCCAAGATTGATTGGATTCCTTTACCTGCCTGCTCACAAGATTAAAATCAAAGCAATCATAATAGCATAAAAAAGTATCATGTATACCCTCACTAGGCAAGATTACAATGGACCTATCTTGATGAGCTCTTTAATAAAGGTGTTGGGTGAAAATGATTCATAAGGTCAGACCTTTTCTTTATTTGTATGGCCTTTTGATTCCTCCTCCCATGACTTTTCTCTACGTATTATGGAACACCCATGTGCCTCTGCGTTACTCTTCTAATCATATTCCACTCTTATCTACCGGGACAATGATATAAAGTTTCTAGTTTATAAATCCCCAACTGAAACCACTATGAAATGTTTCTTAAAAAATTCAACCCCAAATGCATTTCAAGTTTCCCTGCCTGCTTGTTTCTTAGATTCACTTCATTTTCTAAGCATACAAAAATGGTGCTTGTTTCTATTTCAAGAGCATTCATTCGGGAAATAAATTAGAATGATCATAGGTGATTGATTATGTTTTAACTTTTAAGATTATTTTAGTTAAAAATAGATATATCTTATTTAGAATAAACTCTATTTAGTTTAATTGTTTGGAAATAATTAATAATTATTAGACTCTAATAATATAAACAAAAGTGCATTATAAGCAAAATAACTACCAACCTCAACTATTAGCTATTATTTTTTTCAAAATAGCTTAACCAAACAGAAATATAGACATAGATAATCCTACTTATCCAAAAAAAAAAAGGAAAATACACAAATATTCCTTTATTCTCGGTTTATGAACATGGGGATTTGAATTTCAGGTTCAAATCCTTGGGCTCGAATACTGCCTGAGCTGAAAAAGACATCTATTTGATCAGTAACACAAACAATAGCAGCATTGTACAGATCAATTGAATCGAGTTAACACAAGAAATATGGAAGTGTTGAGTTCAAGGAGGAGAAATACAAGCATATTTTCAGCAGCAAACACGACATCTAACCAATCCATTCTCATTGCATTCAGGACATCTGATGCACAATTCCTCACCTTGCACATCCTTGTAGACCTTTCTACTGCCGCTGCAACTGGAGCACACCACAAATAGCATGCCATCACATGAATTACACTGGTGAATAAGCAGAGTTAAAGGTATCCCTTCAAGGAGTTCCTTGAGCTTCCCTTGCTCATGCAGGGTAACAACTTCATCGGCTCCTCCTATGTACCTGCCCTTGATGAAAAGCCTTGGAGGAACCACTCTTCCCCCCATTATCCTCCATAACTCATCCCTGAATTCCATGTGCATAGAAACATCTCGCTCATGTATAACAACCTTGAAGCTGTTTAGTAAAAACCTGATTGCACGGCAATCTTCAAAAGTTTTCCTTATACCTCTCAAGCTCGTTGTATAGAAGACAACCGACTCTTCTCCTCCAGGAGGACATTTCTCTTCAAAATCTGTTAAACGTGGATGTTCTGGACCTTCTTCACAATCCTTAAACATGCTACTCTCTTCAACACTAATTTGATCCTCTCCAAGAACTGTGAGCTTGGACTCTATGGAGGGTCCAATGTCATAATTCCCCTGGTTGCTAACATGGAATCCCAACTCCATTTCTTCATCTTTGTTGCTTTTGCAATCTTGTTCGTTGTAAACTGAAAGGATATGGCAATTTTGAGGGGAAAAGGTCTGCGCAGAATGGAAGTGATGAAGGACTAGGCCTTGTTTCCAAGTGGTGAGAGTAGTGGGAATGAAGTTGAGTTTCTTTAGAAATCTTCCCTTCATTTCTTTCATCTTTTAGTGAAGAAAGAATTGAAGGAGCATGTGATGAGAGAAGTACACTAATTAAAGGATTATGAATGAGGAAAGGACAGTATGGTTGATGTTCAATAGCTTTGTATATTTGTTGCTTTAAGTAGTCTTCATTGATTACTTAACTGTGGGGTACCCTTTGTTTCTTCAATGGACTCCACTAAGGCACTCGAAATTTTGGTGCCTCATCCATGTCATAAGGACAAGAATAGAATCCATCATTCATTGCTCCCCTCTGAAAGAAAATTAACCTTATGGGAAGGGTGTGGTTATTATTGCACAGGGGAAAGCAAAAGGACTTCGGGTGAAAAAAGTGCCTAATTGTCATTATATAATGTTGATTATGGCCTAATATGAATACTCTATATATGTGTTATTATTCTGCCTCTATTAGGGTGTTTTAACGGTTAAGAGTTTGAAGCCTGAGATAGGTAACACTAGGGAAGATATTCACAGCTTTATGTAGTGCATGCGCAATCAAAGGAAACTTGCCTTCTTGAAATATAAAAGTTACTTTGAAATTCAACCAGTAATGCAAAACCAGTGAAAAGATAATGGAACAAGTAGCCAGTACAAGTTAGGGAAACAAGGTGGGAGGGGGTCATCATTCAGAATCAAGTGAACAAAAAGCAACTTTTGACCTCCTCCTTTCTTTGATGGAAAAAAAATTTTCTCCTTTTACATTAACTAGAAACCTACCGGCTATAGCAAAATGCCAACCACAGCCCCACTTTGTAGCAGCCTGTCTCTGTAGTCTGGTCCCTGATTATCAATCACCCTCATCAGAGTGACTTGGTTTACAAATCTTCGTGAGTTTCGAGATTGCAAATTTAAGTCAATATGCCCCCGTCAATGCTAAGGTGATCCTACGCCACCTCAATTACATGGAGCAACTGAGGGCCTCAAATAATTCTTTTATACATTTGATGGTAGACTTCACAATGAGAATATATCCCTCCTGTTTTTCACACCCTTCACTGCTTTTCTTAAGTTTCAAACTTAAAGTCATCCAACACATAAACTCAAGTTTTTAAATATTAAGACACATCTTGAAAGGAGAAGACCACAGCGAATGATCCCCAAGAAGCAATCCCTTTTTTGTTAGGGATAAAAATTCCCAATCTCTGACTTTCCGTAACAAAATTAGCCAGTCCTGAACGCAGAAAAGCTGGGTTTAGCGGATAGAAAATTAGAAGCGAAAGCAATTTTTTTGCTCCTGCATTTGATTATAAGCTGATGCATAATAAGACAACACTAAGAAAAAAATTCCTCAAGATTATCGATAGTAATAGCTTCTTTTTGCAGTCAAATGACAACATAATAATTTCTTTCTGCAGTTGTATTATGTCATAGCCATTAGGTAACATGATAGGCTTTCACATATCTAAGTTAAGGAACAACTTGCCCTGAGAGTCAATGTTACACACAAATTAAGCAACATTCAGCACAGGGCTATTTATTTACATGGAATTCCTATTTAATCACTACGGTGGATAAGCTGGAAAAACGACTGGCTGGGTGCCTAGCTGTCGGCCACAGATGATGCAAACCCAATGTCGAAGTTGAAGCCAATGCATGTCAACTCATTTTTGTCTGCATCATACATCCTCATTTTCAGAGAGTATGAACCCTGCAGGGATGAAAATTTGTTAAGAGGCATGTAATCAGACCCTTTATTCTTCAACAAGGGAAGCATTTACAATCTAGATAGATGTAGGTCTTATTTCCATTTCATTTCCAAATATATAAAGTCACTATATAGAATTTATCCAAATTAACTCATTAGCCTTGATAAGTCATCACTAAATATGTTCAATTTCGTTTTTCTGTCTCCCCTCCCAATAATTTAAATATGAGAACACCAAATTAGTAATCCCACATTCAAACCATTTGGGGATTGCGGACCCTGAGAGAATAATTTCATTGAGAAGAAGACCTAAGAAATTAAAGTAAACATCAAAACATATCACAATTCTCATTGAGGGAGGAAAAGAAAAACAAAAAATAAAAAGATACTTCAACAGATTGAAAAACATTGATTGTTGATCAACATAGACTAAATAGGACAACATAATAATTCTGTTTGTTTGATCATGGCGGAGAAGATTGCAGATCTTGAAAAGTAGCTTTAGCTTACAATTTATATAAAATATAGTGAAAGAGTGATAGCCAGAATTGAGATCATATTTCTAAGCTTATAACATGGTGGGCCAGCACAGAATATACACCAAAATCATGTTCGTAATTGGAACCTAGCAAATAATCCTTTTCATATAGAAGACTTGGAAGACCATGCAATCTTATATCTGATAACTTAAAAACAATGTCAATCAAAAGGAAAAAAAAAAGGATAACTTAAAGACAAATGAAGAAGTAATGTCATAGTGGCTAGAAGCACAAGTCTCCTTGTAACAGACTGTTCTGTTGTATCACAAGTCTCCATGTATGTTGTGAAATATGCATGCAAACACTTACTCAGATCACACCACAAGGAAACTTTCATTGAGACCTATGATGGGTCTCCTCATTGGGTTCTTTGTCAAAAAAAATAAAAAGGCATTTGCAGAGACAAAAACAACAATCAGACATAAGGCAGGCCTAAAAAAAAAAAAAGCACATGCAAGAGGCAGGCCCATTAACCAACAGGCACAAGTTAAGCTATTATCAAAATCTGTTAGATAAACAAGGCAAAAGGAAAGAAATGGGTGCTTTCTGCTGTTCAAACTGACACCATAAGGAGTGTGGTGGGGTGTGAGTGGGGATTGGTTTAAACATGAGACCCTGAGGCTATTAAATCAATTATCTCAAAAAGTGTCTGAAACCATTGTTTGTTCTCTGGAAGATAAATTAAACAGTGGTATCCACCAATGAGGTCACTTATGCAACCATGTAAAAAATGCACATATCTTATCAGATTAACAGTAGGGATTGTGATCTTAATCATTGGCTCCTGATGGAAACTGGCTTTTATGGCTAAAGTTTTTTAAAAACCCTTTTTTTCCCAAAAGGTTTCAAAACATCAAGATCATGGAACTAAAGTCGAACTTACAGGAGGGGTGAATCCTGGTAAAACTTGTGAGTGAGCAACCACAAAATCACCAGTTGTGACAGGGCAAGATGTCTCAGCACAAAGGTCATGTGTCTCACTGTGAACATGCCATCCAAAGTAGGCAACATCAATTGTTAATTTTCCCCCTGTGATAGCACCATCTGTGTAATAAAATTCAACAAATTTTGTGTCAGAACTAAAAAATGACACTAATTTGAACTAAAAAGGGGAAAAGATGCTCCATTCACAACGCAATGACAATGAGATTGCTGTATACATTTACGTTATTGTCAAACAAATAACAATTCTACCAACCATCTGAAACAAAAACCAATGCAATACCAAAAGCTAAAACTACAAGATTGAATGCATGTTATGCTCTACATGCAAACAAACTATATGGGTAGCAAATTAATATTTTGGAAAGTTGGAGAGCACCAAGATACCTGCAGTAGCAGAGATACTGAAGGTAGCGGGTTTGCCCCTTGCCACAGGATAAGGCGATATCTCAACTCCTTTGACCTTCACACTATAGTCAGCTGTCTTATCTGCAAATATTACAAAATATACGAAAGAAGAAACAACAACCCATCAGCTTCAAATTCATAGTTCTAGCATCCTACAATCCACCAAGCCGATACCCATCATTTTAAATGAATATAACATCTCATCATCCCAACCAGTACATACGCAGCTGGTTTACATCAATTTCTAAAGCAATAAAGCTTCGAAATTTCTTTCTGAAATAAAAGGAAAATTTGACAAAATTGCAAAATCAATTCCGAATTCAGATTGAAACAAACAGAAGACATAAACAATAATCAAATGCAAAGAGATAAAAATTTCAAAACTACAATAATAAATCAATGCAATTTCTAAGGGTTTAAGCAACTGACCGCAGTACTGAACGTCGGTGGCTTGGGTCGACGACACAAGCAGACAAAGCGACAAAAAGAGAGGTAAGATCATGCAATTGAACCGAGAATCCGCCATTGAATTTGGTTTTAGGGCAGATTATAGGGTTTTTCCTGTTGCAGAAACCAGGGAGGAGAGTCAGAGAGAGGAGGGAAGTCGAGAGGGAATTAAACGTTTTCTAGATGGAAGAAAGAAAGGAAGCGGGGGTCCTCTACGTTTATTGTAGAAATGCAAGCGATCTGAGCCGTTGGTAGAATTGGGCCCAGTAAATAGAAGGTGTAGATTTGATGAAAACAGAGAGCACATGCTTTATTTGGGGGTTAGTCGGTGATGGACGGTTAGGTGAGAAAACTTATCCGATGGTCAAGATATCTTCGTTGATTTTGTTAGCACTTTGAATTAGTTGCTTTTACCCGAAAAACTATAATTAGAATGTCCAAATAATCTCAGCTATAGAGACAAATTTTTTATTTTTTTTGGTTAAATACTTTTTTTGTCTCTCTACTATTAAGAAAAGCTTTTTTTTGTCCCTATACTGAAAAACTTCTCTTTTTAGTCTTTAAATTTTAAAATTCGATTCTTTTTTCGTCATTTCATTAAATTTTTACTTATCGGGCATGTTAATTAACGGAATCATTTAATTATTTTTTTATAGAATTAATATTATAAATGATGTGAAAATTAAGTGGATAAAATTGTAAAAATTAGGTGGAGAAAATTATAGGTAGTAAGCATTTTGTGCTACATGTACAAATTAAAAATTTTATTTTTTAATTCATAAATTAAATGAATTTAAATGAAATTAACTATAATTTCTTAATTTTCTTTATCTTCTTCTTTCTCCTCATCTTCATTCTCGCCATTCTCTTTGCCATCCTCTTCATTATCCTCTTTATCATCCCTCTTCATCATCCTTCTTCATCATCAGAACCCAAGTTGCTGGGTTCCAAGAGGGAACTGAACTGGGTTCTGATCCTTTTATTTTTTTTTCATTTTTTTTATTTTGAATGTATCTAAGTTGAATGAAATTGAAACTAAAATTTCATGTTTGGTTTTGAATTAGAGATGTTAAGTTTTGGGTTTGTGTTTCATATTTGGGTTTGAAACTGCTGGTGATAGGTTCATGTTGTTGCGATTATGTTACTATGAATTTCATAGCTTGGTTCATACATGACATAGGTTAACAGACAAAGAAAGGGTTGAAAATCTGAGAATTTTATCTTGATCGAACTCATATGTAAAGGATTGATTATGAATGAAAAATGAGAATTTTGAAAGAAGGAAGAAGATATCTGGAGAATTTCAGAATGTTTGATCAAGGCTTTTTTTCGCATGAAAAGAGTGACATGGAAGGGTGTTATTAAGTATACGTAAGTATTTTTACACATTGGAATGTCTATGTCATCATGGGCAGAGCCACAAATTAAAGTTAGAGGGGGCAAGGGGAAAGGTTAAAATTTTTTTGAGTTATGTATTAGTTCACATTAACATAATTTAAATTAATTTTTATATTGATCACTTATTTTATGAATATATCACTTATTTATACATGTAAAACTTTGAATTAATTACAGATATTTAGTTTATCAAGAAAATTAGATATATTTAGTTATTTTTGAATGATATATACTTTAAAATCCCTAAAAACAAGTATAAGAATATAGTTTATTTTTTTAAA